ATGATAAGTTCTATAAAAGTTACCTGGTGACGATAAGTTGTATAAAAGTTACCTGGTGATGATAAGTTGTATAATAGTTATTCTCATAATCAGTTTGCTTTTTTGCATTATTCAATCCTTCTATTCTTTCAGTTGTCTGATTAAATGTTTTATCATTTTTTCTTGTCCAACCACTTGATGAAATTTCTTTAAATGTCTAAATTTCTCATAAAATTACCAATAAAATCCTTATCAGGAATATCAGGAATTAGCAACTTAACACATCAACCTTATATCAATTTGAAAATATAATTACAACTTGTATAAAAATCAACATATTTAATACTGATAAACTGCATGAAATTAAATTCAATAATGATAAATCGTATGAAATCTTATATCAATTTGAAAATATGATTATAACTTGTATAAAAATTAACATATTTAATACTGATAAACTATATGAAATTAAATTTAATAATGATAAATCATATGAAATCAAAGTAAATAAAAAAAAAAAATCAATTTAACGGTTTTTTAAATAACATTCTCATATTTCTGTTAACATACATATTAATAATAGTTTAACAACCTGATATCAATAAGTTAAATGAAATCAAAATATTCTATAATTGATAAATCATATAAAATTTAATCTAACAGTTGATAAGCTTATATAAAAATTAAAGCACCTAATTATTTTGTACTAATATCAACTCATATCAACCTAATATCAACTCAAATCATTTTTAACTTACCGCTTTTCCAAATACCGTTCGCATATTCCGGTTAGCATATTTTCCGATTTCAACTGGTTTGATATCCTGCCTTTCTTGTAATATAATTTCATCAGTTTTCGAACTAAATTTTTCTTTCTTTTTTTTTTTTTTTTAGGAAAAGAACAAACAGTTAGTTTAATTTTTCCAGAAATAAAATTTATCACATAATTTGATTATTCATAAGTTTTTAGTTCAATTACTTGCAACTTTTAAAAAAAAAAGGGAAAAAATATATTTTAAGATGTTAGCAAATACTTTTAAGTATTATGAATTTAAACTAATGCTAATTAGCTAATTTAAGCAGTATGAATTTAAACTAATGCTAATTTGCTAGTTTAAGTAGTATGAATTCAAACTAATGCTAATTAGCTGATTTAAGTAATATGAATTTAAACTAATGCTAATTAGCTGATTATCGGCTAAATAATCTCCTAAGCTAATTCAATTTTTTTATTTTTCTTTCTTAATTTAAATACAGCATAGGTTTGAAAAGAGAAATAGTTCAGCATCTACCTAAATAAATATGATATGACCTAGAATAATAGAATAATCTTGGATATCAAAATGAATAAAAAGTTAAATGAGATTTGAAAAAGAAAAAATCAAAAATTATAATCTGTTACTCGTAAATTTTTTTTCAAGAAAAAACGAAAAGTCGAAAATTCAAAAATCAAAGATCAAAAACTTTTTAAAAAATTTAAAAGAAAAGAAAAGCAAAAAAAAAATATTAACTTTTATGAAAGAATAAGCAAAAAGTCAAAAATTCAAAAAAATCAAAGATCAAAAACCTTTTGAAAAATTTGAAAGAAAAAAAAAATATAAACAAACAAACTTTTGATATTTTTGTAATAATTTATTGCTATTGTTGCTCCTTCCTTGTTGTCGTATAATTGGAATATAATTATTGTTAATTGTAGCAGTATTAGATAATTTTTGTTGATTAAATGTTGTTGTTGTTGTTGTTGTTGTTGTTGTTGTTTGTGGTATTAATCGTATACTCTTTCGAATATTTAATCCAACATTTCGTTGTCGTAAATTTAAATTTAAATTAGCACTAGGATAAATATCATTTAGCGCATGTATTTCCATTGTAGCATTATTATTATTTTTTGGAATATTTTTAAATTCATCATTAAATTTGGATGAATTTATGCTTGCAAATAAATTGATACATTCGTTGATAGATTGTGCTTCATTTAAAATCGGCATATTATTGGGATTTTGAAATTTATTAATAATACTTGAACATGATAATAGCATTCGTTGATGTCGCTTTTTCATATTACCAATTGGACGAATTAAGCCAATATTATTATCATTGGCGGTAATGACATTTTGATTGGCGGTAATAACACTTTGCATTGCATTTTTTACATACTGATGATTTATTTTATCATTTATTTCAATATTTGTATATGTTGTTGTTGTTGTTGTTGTTGTTGCAGTTGTAGTAGACATTTGCGCTTGATGAAAATGATAATTAGCAGTTATTAATGAATATTCTTGATTAGGTATATGGACAATATTTTGCGCAGGTAATAATGATATTTCATCAGTATTTTGTTCATCAGTATTTTGCAAATATTCAGTTGGATTTTGATGAAAATTATCGATATGTTCGCTAAAATGAAAAAAAAAAAGAATACAAACAATTAAACAATAATTTTAATCATTGGAATAATTTTAATTTAAAATTTTAAATTATTTCGAATAAATCAATTTTTTCTTTTTTTTGTAAAAATTGATTTTTATTTATTTCATTTTTAATCGTTGATAAAATTAGAATCAATTTCTGTATTAAATTATTTTAATTACTATTTTATAACGATTATTGTTTAATTAAATGATTGATAATTTTAATTAGAGAAATGATTAAATGCAATAGTTTGCTAGTGTTAATCCTCATCATCAAAGAAGTACAATTAGATTTATCATTGAATGGAAATTAAACGAATTCAATTATTATCAAATAATAGACTGAAATCATTTGAAATCTGATGTGAGCTGATAATCTAAATCTAATATGACCTAACAATTTAAATCTGACGTGACCCTGACAGTCCAAATCTGACGTGACCTAACAATTCAAGTCTGGCATGATCTGACAATCTGAATTTGACGTAAGTTAACAATTTAAACCTGACATGACCTGACAGTCCAAATCTGACGTAACCTAACAGTTTAAATTTGACGTAATATGACAATTTAAATCTGACATAACCTAACAATTTAAATTTGACGTGATTTGAAAATCTGCAATCTGATATGATCGAAATTCTTGTGGTAATAATTTTTAGTTTATATGAATAACTTATTATCATCTCTTTTTGGAAAATTTCAATTTACAAATATATTATTATCAACACTTTAGATAATTTTGATAATAAATTTAATTTCTTTTTTTTTAAAATCAAAAAAGATATCATTTTTGATGAAATTTCATTCTTCTCTATAATTTACACATTTCTTATCAACATTCCCTATATTTTAAAAATAAAGATTTTAGTATTTTTTTTTTTTAATAGAAAAAGAAAAAAAACAAATGAATAGTAATAAATAACCTTTTGATAATTGATGGTGACACTTCTATTTGCTTCAAATCATTTGGATATATTTGTGATTTAGATGAATCCACTATCATATTATCAATTGATCGTTGATCATTATATAATGATAATGATGATATTATAGGTTGTTGTGGTACATTATAGAATAAAGGTAAATTATATCGTTGTGAAAATGATGAAAATGGTACAGAATAGGATGATGAAGGAGGATGGAATAAATCTGAAATTATTTAATAATTTTTTGAAAATTAAAATATATACCATTTTGATTAAAATTTATTCTTTTATTAAAAAACTAATTTCTATCTTGAATTATTTACCAATTAATTTAATTCTAATTACAATATTAATTTGATAAAGGATAATTTATTTTTGTTTTATTAGGTAAATGCATTTTAAGGGTAAAAAACAAAAATTGTTTAATTAGGTAAAATATATTTGGGAAGGCAAAGAGTAAATAATATATTTACGCTAATTAATAAATTAATTTTAATATAAATTTTATTCGAATTAATTAATATATAACTTACTTGGTAATTTATGCGATATTTGTGGTGAAATGTAACTTTTTTGCTGTAATGGGACATTTTGTAAGCATTGACAAGGTGTACTTAATGTTGGACATGAACAAAAACCATCTAAATTATTAATCGAATAATTAAATTTCTTACTAGTAAAATTAATTGCTTATATTAGTATTTAATTTATCCATTTCTTTTCCATCTGAAAACAAAAAATTTCATTTCTATAATCATTTTCATAATTAAATTAAAGTAAATATGTTAAAATGCAGCTAAACATGTAATACGTGTTACATGTAACATATATATATATCCGCATTATAATTAAGTTTCATTTCTTTTTTTAATATCAATTTTAATTAATTTATTACAATTTAGATCAATTTCAAAAACTAAAATTTAATTTAATTTAAAATTTAATTTTTTCTAAGACTAAATTTAGTTTTTAAAATTGAATTTATCAATATAGAATAAAATTCAAATAAATGAAAAAAATAAAATAAAATTCTTACTGCTCAAACAAGCAAACGTATTTGTAACATTGCTTATTCCAATGATAATAATTATTATCAATTGTTGACATATCACTGACCAATACATTTTAAACCTTAAATAAATTTCAAAAATAATATTATTACGCAATAATTATATTTTTATTGCATTTCCAATAATTTCAAATGTATTTTCAATAAATAATAATTACAATATGATTTAATTTAAATTAATAATAAATGACCACGGTCATTTTTTGACCAATTCATGTCAAATATTTTGTAAAATTTAGAAAAAAAAAAATCGATTTATACCTTGTAACATTTGCATCCAAAATATTCGTTTCCTTTGATATAATAAATTTATAATAATAATAAAATAAATATGAAAAACGAATTGTGATACATTTGCACTTAATGCGCAATTGACCTCATACCGTAACACACTATATGATCTCATTTTAAATTATTATATTAATCATTTGCTAGATATTTATGTCAAATATTTTATGTAAAAAAAAAAAAAGATTAATTTATAGTTTGTGCAAAAAAAAAAAAAAGACTAATTTATATTTTATGCAAAAAAAAGAGACTAATTTACAGTTTGTGCAAAAAAAAGAGACTAATTTATATTTTGTGCAAAAAAAACTAATTTATAGTTTGTGCAAAAAAGAACTAATTTATAGTTTGGCAAAAAAAGAAAGATCAATTTAAGTTTGTGCAAAAAAAGACTAATTTATAGTTTGTGCAAAAAAAAAAGACTAATTTATAGTTTGTGCAAAAAAAAAGAAAAACTAATTTACGGTTTGTGCAAAAAAAAAATAGCCTAATTGCTTGATGTAATAAATTATACAAATATGGAAAAAAAAAAATAGAATTT